GCGTTCCAGAGGTTCCTCGACGACTCCGTGGACGACGACAGCTTCCACCTGGACGACGCTCAGCACCCGGGCGCTGGGCCTCACAAACGGGCCCGGAGCAGCTGGGGTCGGAGGATCGCGCCGCACCGCCGATGCACCGGCGATGCGGCGCGATCTGAAGCCCGTCCTCCTCCATGCCGCCGTCACCGATGCGTCGCCGATGCCCAGCGCGTCGTCGATGCGGCGCGATCCTCCACCCCCCATCTGCTCGTACCTCCCTCCTCCTCCTCCTCCTCCTCCTCCTCCTCCTCCTCCTCCCCCTCCTCCTCCTCCTCCTCCTCCTCCCCCTCCTCCTCCCCCTCCTCCCTCGTCCTCTTGTGTTGGCGCCGGCCTCCACAGGCGGGCCGCGCGGGAGCTTCGGCTTCGACAGCGCCTACACGGGCGGGGCCGGCCGCTTCGGGCAGGCGGCCGCGGCCAGCAGGGCCAGCGGAGGTGACCGGCGTGCGTCCGCGGGCAGCGCGGTGGGCCGGAGCGGCGGCCTGTCGGCGCTGGAGAGGAGTGTTGCTTGCTCGGCCCTCGTCGGGGGTGGACAGAGCTCCTACCCCGACACGCCGATTCAGGAGTCGGCTGTTGTCGGTTCGCGAGAGGGCGTCGCGGCCGTCATTCTTGCGGGTCCAGGTCCGTCGGTTTCGGTCCCAGGCCGTTTTCACTAAGGGGAGGTTTACTAAAGGGAGGTTTGTCCACCGCCGAGCGTTGCTTGCTCGGCCCTAGGCTCCAGCAGTGGCGAAGCGTCCTGGCTCGCCTATAGGCCCACCAGAGCGTGTTCTAGGAACCTCTTGTGGTCTGCACGGAATATTCTTAGAGCATGTCTGGCTTGGACTGTCTTGTTTTAGCACATCGGGTTTATGTTCTGAGAATATTGTTCTTGCTTTCAGAACACTTCTGGGTTCTAGGAAAAGGTCGTGGTAGGCCTATAGGAATGCCAGGACGGTTGGCCCCTGCTCAATAGGCCAGCTGTTCAATCTGAGGCGTTCACGCCGATGGTAGCCATGCAACCACACGGAGCGTTTCCAGAGAGGGCCTCGGTTTCGAGTGATCGAGGGGCTGCCGTCTCTTCCTCGGCGGCCTCGGCGGAGGGCCCGCGGGAGCGTTGGAAGCAAAGTCGGGGCGGGCCTGCCGGTAGAACTACCACTGGCCCTCCAAGAAATGCATGTTGTTCCACCAAGCTCTCCTGCATCGGGCTCTCGTTTTTGAATCGACCGCTGCTGCCGCCGCCCCCAACTCCTCCCGACCCCCTCCTGGCTCTTCCTGCGTCCTATGATACCGCAGGCCTCTTACTTGCATCCTACCTCCCGACTATTCTTCTCTCTGCTCTCCCTCAGGGGCTGCGAACTGCGAAATTGTCGCCACTCTCGGGGGCTCCTGCGAGTTCCCGCGGAGCGGTGTCGTACGAAGATGCAGATTCGGCCTCGCCGTTCTCTGGGGGATGCGAACTGCGATACGATGCCCACTTTCGTGAGCTGCTGGGACGTCCAGTGGAGTGGTGTCTTACGAAGATCCAGATTACACCTCGCCGTCCCCTGTGGTCTGCGAACTGCAAAACTCTGCCGCCAGTTTAATGAGCTGCTGGGACGTCCAGCAGAGTGGTGTCAGATTCACACCCAGATGAGACGTTGCCGTCCCTGGGGGAGACGAACTGCGAAACTGTCACCACTTTCGTGAGCTGCGGGGAGGTCCAGCGGACTGGTGCTATGCGGTACGACATCGCCGTCCCCTTCGGGGATGCGAGCTGCAACATTGCCGCTGCTTTCGTGGGCTCCCGGGAGGTCCAGCGGAGCGGCGGAGCGGTCTCATGCGCAGATCCAGATTCGATCTCGCCGTCCCCTGGCGGCTGCGAACTGCGATACTGTCGCCACTTTCGTGAGCTGCTGGGAGGCCTTGCACCAGTGACGTATGTATGGTGCCTCTCTTTCTTCGCCCTCCTTCCTTGACCTTGTTCCCATCCTCCCGCATCCCTCCTCGTCTCTCATCCCTCCTTTCTACTCCAGGTTCCAGCAGCCTTCTTCTCGAGTTCTACTCCCAGGGCGTGTTCTGTCCTCTTCAGTACGTCCGCCTTTCTCTGCCTCAATGCTTCTCAGGCTTACGCCACACCGCCGATCCCTTTGGGGACTGGCGGTTGTTGTATGTTGCTCCTGAGGGCCTCTTGGGCGCCTTTTGGGTGGCGTCTTGGAGCTCGTTTTATTATCGGAGACGCCTACTGCGAATCACCGCCGCCCCCTGCCGTTGGGAATCGCCCACGTGGCCGAGCGTTGTGGCAAGACCTCTGCCAAGCTCTCGGACCATGTGTCCCCCCAGCCGTTGTGGAAACCCTTCGGGGAACACTTGAGAGAGAGATAATGGCGGGGAGGGTCAGGAGGAGGAGGAGGAGAAGGAGCAGGAAGAGGAGTAGAAGAAGAATGAGGAGGAGGAGAGGGCATCTTGAGCGCCTCTGGAGACACTCTTGGGGCCTCCTGGGAGCTTCCTGGAGGCCTCCTCCTGGGGGCGTCTTGGGGGCCTCTTGGGCCGTCTGGAGGCGAGCGTGGGCGTTTTGGATCGATCTTTCGGCGGCCTGTGGCTCTCCCGGACCGTCCGGAGGGCCTCTTGGTACCCTGTCAGCCTGTTTGGGAGCCCTCTGTCCCCCCCCCGTGATGCGTTAGGGCGGTCCCCAGGGGACACCCCCCTCCAAATCAACCGGGCTCCAGGGTGAGGGGTTTGGGGAGGGGAGAACATCTCACACGCCAATGAACTCCCAGGGGTCGGCGGATTCCCTTTCTCCGTTTGCTCTTCAGCTCCTGCCATCCTCCCACTTTCTTCCACATCCCCGTCCCTATGCTTCCTTTGTCCCATATGTTCCTAAACCCCGTCCGCCTCATTCCTGCTCTTGGTCAGCGTCGTATGTTTGTCATCCCCCCTCCATTCCATTTATGAAGGTATTTCCGCCCCCACGTTTCTCCCGAGGATCGTGTAACTTACTGTAATGCGCAAGCCTGCCATTTAGCTTTCACCATATTTCGCGTCACCCGCGAGAGGTCGGCCCACTGTTCGGTTGGGTGCGTCGCATTGTGGGCTCAGGAAGAGGAGGAGGAGGAGGAGGAGGAGGAGGAGGAGGAGGAGGAGGAGGAGGAGCCCGCCACAAGGGAACAATCCCCTTCGTGTCCAAGCGCCATTGCTGCAGGTGTCGTTTCAGTCTTGAGCGGCCGAGCTCGTTTCAAGCGGACCCGCAGGGGTACTTCGGTTTGACATGCTTCACCGAGACTGATTATGTCCCGACCCCCTCCCAGCATACACGTACATGTGCGCATATACTCGAATCAGTGCTTGCATTGAAGGCGTCCTAGCGGATACTGAAAGATTTGGCGATAGTTTCCCTCCGATTTTGGTGGCTGGCTGGGTTCCCGGGTTCCCGGTTCTGGGTCCCCGGGTTCCTGGTTATTCGTTCCGGGCCGATTTCGGTGGGTTCCGGGTTCCCGGATGCCCGGTCGAATTCCTTATCGAAATATTCATGTGATCATACGCACCCAGCTACGCACGCAATAGGCATCGAGGACGCACAAGGTGAATCACCGCCGCCACCAGACCCTATGGAAGGAAGGCCTTCGCTGCTGATGGCCGACAATCGATGTGAAGCTCGCTCGGCCGCGAATGAATTTCGGGTTCCCGGATTTCGGACAACGCACACGAGGTGCAGAGTGTTTACCGTATTGGGGCTGTTCGGGACCTTCTTGGGCGTTCTTGGGTGTCTCGTGCGGCCCTCGTGTACCGTCTTCGGGCCCTCTGGCGTCGTCTTGGGGCGCTCTTGAGCCGTCTTGCTCCCGTATCGGCAGTCTTTTGGATCTTTCGGGGCATATTTGGGGCCTTCTGTAGGCCTTCGAGGGCCCCTACAGGGCCCTCTTGGCCTGTCTCGGGGCTGGTTTGGGAGCTTTCTTGGACGCCCGTCAGACCGAAAAGCCGGGAATGCTAACATCGTTCAACAAAAAGGCTTACGGAAGATCAATGAGTTCTGCTTCCGCGGAGCTTCTTGGAGGCTCTACTTGAACGCTCATCTTGAGCCATCGCGGCAGACATGGGGCCATTTGGGGCCGTCTTGAGAGCCTTGGGGGTCGTGAACCAGAGGCATCTTGGAGGTATCCTGGGGTCTCTTAAGGGCGCCTCCCGTGAGCATATTGACAGTCTCTGGGGTGCCTCTCTGGTGCCTCTGCTGCCTCCTGGCGGTCTCTGGGGGGAGGTCCTCCTCCTCGCTGCTTCTCCTCCTGCTCCTCGCTCCTCCTCGCTTCTCGCTCCTCGATCCTCGCTCCTCGCTCCTCTCTCCTCCTCCTCCTCGCTCCTCTCTCCTCCTCCTCCTCCTCCTCCTCCTCCTCCTCCTCCTCCTCCTCCTCTTCCTCCTCCTCCTCCTCCTCCTCCTCCTCCTCTTCCTCCTCCTCCGCCTCCTCCTCGCTCCTCGATCCTGGGGCCACTTGAACACTCCGTTGCAAAGCTGCACCCTCTTTGTTACCCCCCCGTCTGCGGCATCCCGATTTTCCTGGAGCGGCGTGGGCCTGAGATTCTGGGAGGGCGTCGGCAATGAAGCACGTGGGGGATCGTCTTCTCTGGGGCGCGCAGGGGCAAGTGATGAGCGGGGCATCGGCGCCCGAGAGGAGCGAGATGATGCTGAGGGCAAGCGGCGCGAGGGGCGGCTCCTTCGAAGCCGACGAGTACGGCGCAGGGCGGCACAGCGCGAGCGGCTTCGCCGCGGGCGGCTACGGCGCAGAGATGGGCGGCGACCCCCTCGCCCACATCAACCTGGACGCGGTGCCGGCGCCGCACAGGGCGGAGAACTTCAAGACCAAGAAGCAGCTGGACGAGATGCGGGCCTCCAAGCAGAGCGAGGCCTCCAGGCTCAGCGAGGCCTCCTCCCCCCCTCCTCCTCCTCCTCCTCCTCCTCCGCCTCCTCCTCCTCCTCCTCCTCCTCCTCAACCTCCTCCGCCGCCTCTCCTCCTCCCCCTCCCCCTCCCCCCCCCCCTCCTCCTCTCCTCCTCCTCCCTCCTCCTCCCCTCCTCCTCCTCCTCCTCCTCTCCTCCTCCTCCTCCTCCTCCTCCTCCTCCTCCTCCCACTCCTCCTCCTCCTCCTCCTCCTCCTCCTCCTCCTCCTCCTCCTCCTCCTCCTCCTCCTCCTCCTCCTCCTTCTCCTCCTCCTCCTCCAGGCCTCCAGGGCCTCGGCCAAGAGCAAGGCCGGCGCGAGCGCTGGGCCGGGCCGGGCAAGGCCGGAGCGCTCCCGCTCCCCGGAGCCCGCGGCGGTTGCGGCCAGGGCGTCCGGCAGCGCCACGGACTCCGAGGACCAGAGGGCCAACCCCGAGTCCAGGGCGCCGCAGGCCGTGAGTCGGGCCTGTCTCTCTGCAGAAGGGATTTTTCGGGGGTGGAGAGACCTCCTACCCTGACACGTCGATGAAGGAGTTGGCCGTTTTCGGTTCGCGAGAGGGCGTCGCGGCCGTCATTTCTGCGGGTCCAGGTCCGTCGGTTTCGGTCCCAGGCCGTTTTCACTAAGGGGAGGTTTACTACTAAAGGGAGGTTTGTCCACCGCCGAGCGTTGCTTGCTCGGCCCTAGGGTCAAGCAGTGGCGAAGCGTCCCGGCGTGCCGTTCCCGCGAAGTGTTCTTAGGACAGTTCTGGTTGGGACCGTCTTGTTTTAACACATCGGGCTTGTGTTAAAAGGACATTGTATTTGTTCTTAGAACATTTGGGGGTTCTACGAACATTTCGTGGTAGGACTATAGGAATGCCGGGACGGTCGATCCCTGCTCAACTAGGGCGCCGCAGGCCGTGAGTCGGGCCTGTCTCTCTGCAGGAGGGATTTTTCGGGGGTGGAGAGACCTCCTACCCTGACACGTCGATGAAGGAGTTGGCCGTTTTCGGTTCGCGAGAGGGCGTCGCGGCCGTCATTTTTGCGTGTCCAGGTCCGTCGGTTTCGGTCCCAGGCCGTTTTCACTAAGGGGAGGTTTACTAAAGTTAGGTTTGTCCACCGCCGAATTTTAAAAAATAGTTAAAAATACATCGTGGACGCTTCTTGTCTACAATTGTGTTTGGATTATTCTTGAATGTGTTTGACTATTTCTTATTTGTCGTCCGAAAGCCGCCTGTAGGAGGACATGCCCGACCCAACGCAAGCCGTGTCTTGGCCCCTCGAAGAGGAAAAAACGGCATGAACGTCAACTTTGAGCGCTCCGCGCGGATTTCTTGGATCGGCGCTCGGCCCCCCTGGCGGCGCCTCCAGCGCCGCCCCCCGCGCGCTCCGCGCGCCTGGGAGGGGGGTCCGGCGCAGACCCAGGAGAGCTCCGCGCGGAGCTCCGAGAGTTGAGGTGTGTATGCAGTTGTTGTCCCTCCAGCCCCGGAGGAGGAGGAGGAGGAGGAGGAGGAGGAGGAGGAGCAGGAAGAGGAGGAGGAGGAGGAGGAGGAGGAGGAGGAGGCCTGGAGCAGCAGGGAGGTCGAGAGTGCTTCGGGGCCCACGGCTGCAGTGGCCCTGGCTGCGCCCGCGTCCAGGCTCGCCAGGAAGCCCCCACTCACGGGGCCCGTGAGCCTCCTCCTCCTCCTCCTCCTCCTCCTCCTCCTCCTCCTCCTCCTCCTCCTCCTCCTCCTCCTCCTCCTCCTCCTCCTCCTCCTCCTCCTCCTCCTGCCCCCCTGGATAGGAGGCCTAGGGCCTAGGGGGAGCAAGGAAGGAAGGTGCACCGCTCGTGCACCTTCGCCCCCCCCCGGAGCAGCACGGAGGGCGGAGAGTGCGCCGGCTGCAGTGTTCCCGGCCGTGCCAGCCCAGGCACGCAAGGTCTCGAGCGTTTCGAGGCGGGGCCCCCGGAAGTCCCAACCCTTTCCTCGGGGTCGGCTTCCCATCGCGAGTCGTTCTCTGACGGTCCCCAGTCCCGGCGAGGGCCCCCAGAGGCCGATAGTCATAAACAGCGGGCCGTCGTGCTTCGTTCCACGACGCGAGCATGTCTGGGATCAGGGCTGGACCCAAACGCTGTTCTGCTTGACTCCGGCTGTGTTCTGTGTCGCACAGGAAAACGGGCGGAGCAGGACCGAAAAAAAAACAGCGTTTAGGTCCAGCCCTGTCGGGGATCGTCCTGGTTCACGAAGAAGGCCCCCCCTGCACGGGCCCCCGAGGGTTTTCCCGCGGCCGGTCGCCGAGCCCGGGGCCAGGCTGGCGCTCTGTTCGTCGGCGCCGCGTGAGATTTGAGTCGGATCGGTCCCTCTACAGGAGGAACATTCAAAAACAGTAAAAAAACAATAGTCTGGGGACGGATTTGCATTCTCATTGTTTATTCCTTGACTATCTTTGAAGATTTTTTGCCTTTTTTGTTTCGTCCAAGGTCCGCCTGCAGGAGGGCGTGCCCGACGTAGCGTGAGCTGCAGGCCTCCCGCGCGATCGCGGAGAGGTCACGGCGGGGGGTTGTCGGCCAGCTGCGGCCTCTGGGGCGAGCGGGAGCGCCGTCCCCGAGTTCGTGGGCCTCCGCAGGGGCAACGATGGGGGGGGATAGGCACAAGTCGGGCCTGCCCCTCTACAGGAGGAACACTCAAGAATAGTAAGAAAATAGTCTGGGGACGATGCTTGAATACTTGTTGGCTATGTTTCAACATGTTTTGAGTATGCTTAATTTTTCGCCCAAAATCCGCCTGTAGGGGGACATGCCCGACCTAAGGATAAACATAATTAGGGGGGGATGCATCGACCCCCAATCGCCCATTGATCGCCGATTGGGGCCCGATGGCCCAAACCTGCCCAGGAAGGCGCGGATTCACTATCGGGGGCCTATCGCCGATCCATCGGCGATGTATCGCCGATTCCAGGTCGATGCATCCCCCCCTATCGTTGCCCCCCACCTCCTTTTGGCCAGGGCACCTTTTGTTGTACATTGTGAGGACGTGTCGAGCGGGAACCCTTGTCGTCGCAGCTGGGCCTTCGCCAACCTGAGTAGCTTGCGGAGAGGTCTAGAGCGAGCGCGCCGTTCCCGCGTTCGGGGGCCTCTCTGGCTAAGTGGAGCGCCTTGGAGTACATTGCGATGAACTATCGAGCTGGAGCCGCTGTCGGCGCGGCTGGGCCTTCAACAACACACATTTGGAGTGTAGCCCGCGCTCGAGTGGGATCGTCGTTGTCAGAATGCAGTAGATGGCGTCGAAGCGAGAGCGCCTGGAACCATTTCCATGAATGATCAATAAGAATGAGAACAACAAAAAATCTCCGAGCAATTTCCTCCTAGTCCTCCTCCTCCTCCCCCTCCTCCCCCTCCTCCTCATCCTCCTCCTCCTCCTGCTTCTCCTCCTCCTCCTCCTTCTCCTCCCCCTCCTCCTCCTCCTCCTCCTCCTCCTCCTCCTCCTCCTCCTCCTCCTCCTTCTCCTCCCCGTTCTCCTCCTTCTCCTCCCCGTTCTCCTCCTCCTCCTCTTCGACCCTCGAGGTCGAGGGAACGGGGGCGCAGCTCAGCAGGCGCGGCAGACTCCCCCCCGCCATCACGGGGGCCAGCTCCGGAGACAGCCATTGCTCGCCTGGCGTGGCAGGCGGCCCCGCCCCTCAACATCATCAGCAGCAGCAGCAGCAGCAGCAGCAGCATCATCATCATCATCATCATCAGCAGCAGCAGCAGCATCAGCATCAGCATTAGCATCATCATCAGCATCATCATCAGCAGCATCATCAGCAACATCAGCATCAGCATCATTATCATCAGCATCAGCATCATCATCATCATCACCACCATCATCATCATCATCATCATCATCATCATCATCATCATCACCATCACCAGCATCAGCATCAGCAACAGCATCAGCATCATCATCATCATCATCATCATCAGCAGCAGCAGCAGCAGCAGCAGCAGCGTCAGCATCAGCAGCAGCAGCAGCAGCAGCAGCATCAGCATCATCATCCCCCCCGCCCCTTGCGCAGGAGCAGAGCATGGAACAGACTCAGACCTCGGCCGAGCCTGGGGGGGTGTTCGCGGCCTTCAAGACGATGCTGCAGGAGACCGAAACGGTGGAGCAGATGGAGAAGAAGCACCAGGAGGAGCAGCGCAGGCTGGAGGAGGAGCGCACGCGGGAGCGAGAGGCCAAGGAGCAGGAGGAACGCAAGGCGCGAGAGGAAGAGGAGGCGACAAGAAAGAAGGAAGAGGAGGCGAGGAAGCGAGACGAAGAGAAGCGCCAGAAGGAGGAGGAGCGGCGGCGGAAGGAGGAGGAAGAGGAGCGGCGCCGACGGGAGAAAGAGGACGAGGACAGGAGAGCGGAGGAGGAGGCGGCGGAGAGGCGGAGGCGGGAGGCGGAGGAGGAGGAGGAGGAGAGGCGGCAGAGGGAGGCCGAGCAGACGCGGCAGAAGGCCGAGGAGGCGATGCGGAAGATCCAGGAGCTGACGCGGAAGCGGCAGGAGGGCGAGGAGGCGGCTCGGCGCAGGGCCGAGGCCGACGGGAGCGCGTCGCCAGAGCAGGGCCAGGCCCAGGGCCAGGCCCAGGGCCAGGCGCCCGCCGCCGAGGCGGCCGCGCCCGCGCCCGCCGCGGCCGCGCCCTCGCCCGCGGCCAGCTACGCCGCCCCCTCCGCCTCGCCGCCCGCCTCGGCGGGGCGCCCGGGGTCCAGGACGCCGCCCGCGCGCAGCGCCACGCCGCCGACGCCGCCCGCGGCCGCGCGCGGCGCCACGCCGCTCGGGGGCAGCCGGCAGGCCAGCCCCGCGCCGCCCCCGGAGGCCGAGTCGCCGATGGCGCCGCCGCGTCTGGGCCCGGCGGAGCCCTCGCAGCGCCTCGCCAGCACGCCCCAGTTCTCCCCCGCGCCGCCCACCGCCAGCTCCAACAGCCTCACGCTGATGGCGTCGGTGGTGCACGCGCCGGGCGAGATGGCCGCGCTCGGCGGCACGGGCCTCGGGGACCCGCGCGCCTCGGTCCAGGCCAGCTCCTCGGAGGTGCCCTCGGCCTCGCCGCCGGGGCCCTCGCCGGCGCGCGGGCGTGCGGCGTCCGGGTCCCCGCGCGCCGTCGGCGAGGCGCCGCAGCCGTCACCGCACGCGTCGCCCCCTCTGCAGCCTTCCCAGCCGCCGCTGCGGCTGCCGAGCGGCGAGGACAGGTTCCGGATGATGGGCACCACCGAGCTGCTGCGCACGCAGGACTCCACGGCCGAGGAGCGCAACGCGCTCCTGCGGCACCCGCAGCCGGGGCCGCCGGCGGAGGACCTGACGCCGCACCCAGGCGCCCGGGCCCTCGAGGCTTCCACGCCTCACTCAGGGCCGTCGTTGAGCACCCTGCGGCCAGAGGACATACAGCGAAGCCGCGCCGCGCCGGCCGGCGGCCACACGCCCCCCGCACCAGCTGCCAAGCAGGGGGACGTCCACCTGGAGGTGCTTGGCCTCCGCCAGAAGATAGCGCTGCTGGAAGAGGACAAGGCGGAGCTGCAGGACTACCGCAGGCGCACCTTCTCAGAGGTGGCGCAGCTCAGCCAGAAGGTAGTGCGACTCGAGCACGAGAACCAGAGGCTGAAGGACACCGCCGACGGGAGGACGTCAGAGCTCGCCGCCATGCTGAGAGAGTCAGAGGCAGCGAGGCTGGAGCTCGAGGAGCGGGTCCGGGTCGCGGATGCAGAGCTGGCGCAGAGGGCCGCGAAGGCGGCCCTCGACGCGGCCAGCGCCGAGGGCAGGCAGGGGGGCTTGGCGGAGAGGCTCCAGAGGCTGGAGACAGAGAACGCGGCGCTCCGCGAGGAGCGCGACACGCTCCGCGACGACCTCGCCCTGGGCCCCGCGATCCTCTCGGCCTCGGGGAGGCGGGCCGCCGCCCCGGCGCGCGCCAGCCAGGGCGCGGCCGAGGCGGCGGGCGCGGCCGCGCCTGGCGGCGAGGCGGCGGAGGAGGTGGCGAGGTTGCGGGCGGAGCTGGAGCAGACCGCCAAGATGCTGCGCGGGTGCGAGAAGGAGAACGAGAACCTGGCGCAGCAGAACCGGCAACTGCGCCAGAGCGCGCGGCTGCGCCGCGAGGAGGTGGACGGCAGGCAGCTGCAGCTCGTGGCGGAGCTGAACGCCGCGAAGAGCGAGGCCGAGACGAACCCGGCCAGCATGCGCCGCATGGCAGAACTGGAGCGGGAGCTGGTGGCGTCCAAGGAGCGTGCCGACGAGCACGCGCGCGAGCTGGAGCGGTGCCGCGAGGCGAAGCGCCAGCTCGAGAGGGAGCTCCTCACGGGCCCGCCGCCGGCGCAGAGGGCGCCAGAGCCTGGGCAGTTGCCCGAGGCTCGAAGAAGGAAACAGGTCATAAGCATAAGCTTCCGGAGGCCCGCCCGGACCTTCAGAAGCATATCTTAGTATAGTCATCGGATCGCATCCTTCTCTTCTCTGCAGGTGCGCGCCGCGCGGGACAAGGCAGAGGCGGAGGTCGCGGAGCTCCAGGAGAAGCTGCGCTGGTACGTGGAGGGCCAGCAGAGGATGGACGAGGACCGGCTGGAGGTGGAGCGCGCCGGCGAGGAGGTGCGGGCCCTGCGGGCCGAGAACGCGGAGCTGCGCCAGCGCCCGGGCGCGAAGGAGGCCAACCGGCGCGTGGCCGAGCTCCGGAAGCAGGTGAGCGAGCTGCACGAGTGCCTGAAGACGCGCAACCCGAAGGGCATACTGTCGCTGATGAAGGCGTGCGAGCAGCCGCCGCCCGAGCGGCGCGTCGTGCGCGACCTGACCGCCAAGGTGGAGGAGCTGGAGGCCAAGCTCGCGGAGCGCGACGCCACGTACGATCGCAAGGTGCGCGGTCTGCGCGCCCAGTACGACCACCTCCGGTACGAGTACGAGAAGCGTTTGCAGACGGCGCAGGCCGGAGGCGCCGACGCGAAAGGGCTGCAGGCGGGCGCTTCTTGGGTGCCAGCTGGCGCAGCCCAGCACGAGGAGGCGAAGCGCGGGGCCCCTGACAGGGAGGCCGTGCTGGCCGCCCGCGTCCACGACCTGGAGCGCCAGGTCGAGCACACCAAGTCGTACTACCTGTCCAAGCTGCGGACCCGGGAGCCGCTGGTGCCGAAGCCCTCGCGCCCCGCGCCCAGCGGCGCGGCGCAGGCGCGTGAGGCGGAGCTCCAGGCGGCCCTGCGCCAGAGGGACGCGCGCATCGAGGAGCTGTCCAGGGCCCTGCACTGGCGCGACATGGACGGGCTCGAGCGGCTGCAGGGCGGCGCGGCGCCGAGGGCCGCCGGCGAAGCGCTGGCGGCAGGCGACGCGGGCACGCTGCGCGCGTTCCTCGCGTCCCCAGAGGCGCCCCCGCTGGTGGCCGTGTGCGCGGAGGTCCGCGCGATGGCGCACGCGGCGCGGCGGGGACGCTTCGAGGACGTGGCGGCGCAGGCGAAGGCCCTGCACGTCTTCTTCGCGGCGGAGGAGGCGGCGGCCGCCGCCGTGGCGGCCGATGGCCCCGCCAGCGGCGCGGCCGTCGGCCGCGACGCGCTGCGGCTGGAGGCCCAGCCGCCGCTGCCCGGCCCCGTGTGGGCGCAGTGGCGCGGCCTGAACGCGCAGCTGGCCGGCGCGGCCAGCGAGGCCTGCGCGCGGGGCGGGGCCGACCCGGACGGCCAGGTCGCCGGGGCGCTGCTGGCCATGCGCGGATGCCTCGAGGAGGTCGTCCGCAGCCTGGTCCTGGAGCCCGCGGGCGGGCAGAGGGCCGGGCGGCTCGGGGGGCCCCGCCCGGCGTGGGGGGGCGGCCCCGCCGCGGAGTCGCTGCTGCCACGGCTGCTGCTCGAGCGCGCGCGGGAGGAGGTGGACGCCGCCGGCGAGGGCCACGCCGCGGCCCTGCTGGAGGACGCGGAGGTTCAGCAGCGAGGGCGGCCCACCCTCCTCCCCGTCGGCCAGACGGTCGGAGACTTTGGCTAGTAGCGTGAAGTCGGGCATGCCCCTCTACAGGAGTAAAATCCAGCAAGAGTCGAAAAATAGTCTGGGGACTATCTGTTTTGCTTGTTCTGAAGATCTTTGAATATTTGTCGGGTTATTTGATTTCAATGTTTCGTCCAAAAAATCCGCCTGCAGGGGCACATGTCCGACCTGCGATTTGCGTGTCGCGCCGCCAGTGCTGGCCCACCGCGCCTCGGCGCGACACGCCGGCCACGGCCCGGTCCCCGCGCGTCAACAACGTCCCGAGCTCTTCCGAGCATCCCCTCCCGCCCCCGCGGAGCGGAGCGACACGCCACGTCCGCTTTCAAGGCACAGCGTGCCGCCGGGGCCGTCGCGCGGCACGCACCTTTCCCCGCTTTGCCCGTCTGATTACCTCCCTGTAGCTCGGCAACGCGCAGAGGGGGGTAGGGGGAGGGGGGAAGGCTTCTTAGAAGCACCCCTGCTTCTTCGGAGGCGCGGGCCTTCTCTATAGACGTAAGGCCCAGGCCTTCTAAGAAGCAGGGTGCTTCTAAGAAGCCTTCCCCCCTCCCCCTACCCCATTTCGCGCGCCGCCAAGTAGCCGTCCGGTCTCGTGGCACCTGTCCCCACTCAGAGGCGGCAGGCTGGTGGCGCTGAGGGAGCCTTGGTCCGGCCGGTTCGGTGGCACCCATCCCCACTCAGAGGCAGTAGGCCGGTGGCGCTGAGGGAGCCTTGGCCAGCTGGTGGATGGGGATGCCCTGAGATCCTGGCTTTGCAATTTTTTCACAACGGGCGTGTTCGCTACATTTCGGGCCCCAGGACCCTCACAGATCGATCCGGCTCGAAAAGTGGCGCAGGCAGACAGGGCCCGGGGCTCCAGGCGTGCTTTTTGTTCGATGCTGCATGTGTTCTGCCACGCTGGATCTCGGGGTGAGCCCCACAGTGCTGCGAGGTGCACGCTGGCCTCGACCACAAGCTGCCCTGGGCGGAGCTCGCCGGCGTCCTGTCCCGCAGCGGCATCGGCAGCGCGCAGCTGGCGGCGGACTGCCACAGGGCCGCCGTGCCGGACTGGAGCCTCGCAGTGTCCGAGCTGCGCGAGCTGCTCGGCGCCGGGAGGCCCGACCGGCTGCCGCGGTCGCCCTGCGGCTGCCTCGCGCGGGCGCTGGAGCGCGTGAGGGCGGTCGCGACGGATCACGGGGGATGAAGAGGCACCCTGTACCGCCAGTTGCCCCTTCCCTCGTCTTCGCCTGCCATGGCCTCCTGAGAGGCCCTCGTCGGCTCCGCCGGATTCGCCTCGAGGTCCTGGGCAGAGCGCGCCCCCGGAGAGGTCATGGTGACGAGCGCTGTCGGTGCCTCTTGGGATCCCTTAGGGTCACGAGCCCCCGCTGCCTGTCGTGTTCGGGCGCCTCGACGCCAGCGGCGGGGGGTTCTTGCAGCGCCAGGACTTCATGGAGGCCCTCCGAGGCGTGCGCTGCGCCCTCTCGCTGGAGGAGCGCGCGCAGCTGGCGGTCTTCTTCTCCCCCGCCGCCGACCCCGAGCACGTCTGCTACCAGCTGTTGCTGCAGAGCGTCGTGCCGCCTCCGGGCCAGAGCGCCGCGCCGCCCGGCGACCGCGCGGCCGCTGCGTCCTGGGGGCAGCCGGCGCGCTGGGCAGCGCAGCGGGTCCAGGGCCCGGGCGTGGCGTGGGGCGCGGAGGCCGCGCGGACAGAGGCGCTGGCTCGGGCCGCGGAGCTGGAGGCCGAGAACATCGACCTGCAGCAGCGGGCGCGCGGGCTGGAGGCGCGCCTGGCCGAGCAGGAGGCTCGGGCCGGACGAAAGGGGGGGATTGGGAAAGGGGGGGGGTACGAAATTTGCTGCATGCCGCTGATTTCGGCCCCACCGAGGGGCCCATTCCTCGATACATCGTCGCCTCCGGCGCCGGGAGGCGCCAGGAAAATCAGCTACGTGAGCTGATTCTCAACCCCCCCCCTTTGCTATCCCCTCCTTTCGCCCGACCCGGGAGGCGCTGCTGGCGCAGACGCCCGCGCAGGCGGTGCGCCGGCTGCAGGGCAACGTCGCGACGCTGGAGAGCCGCATGCTGGAGCAGCAGGCGCGGGCGGCGCAGAACGGCGGGCTCTCGGTGGCGCCGGCACCGGCGCGCGTAGGCTTCCAGCGCAAGGTCGCGCGTGGGCGCCCTCGTTTCCACTGCAGCTTGCCACGCTGGCGGCCCGCGCCAGCTGCGGCGGCGGAAGGCTGTTGCTATGGCATGCCATCTCGCGTCAGACCGGTGTCCTGTCGTCGCTCATGTGGGGGGGAGGCCCGCCACTCCCTTTCTTCTCCTTCCCCTCCTTCTCCTCCTCCTCCTCCTCCTCCTCCTCCTCCTCCTCCTCCTCCTCCTCCTCCTCCTCCTCCTCCTCCTCCTCCCTCTCCTTTTCCTCCGTCTCCTCCTCCTCCTTTTCCTCCTTCTCCTCCTCCCTTCTTCTCCTCCTCCTCCATTCTTTTTCCTTACAGATAACTCCTCCCCCTCGCACGCCAGACTTGTCTGTAGGGCGGCCTGGGAGTTGCGCATGAGACTTCCTCACCATTTCTGACCGTGAAGCTTAAACATTGGCAACAGTTTCACAGATAGACGGCGGGTGGTTTTCAAAATGTGGCTCTTGCCTCAGCGCCGCGCACATTCGCTTCAAACAATTGCAAGATCTTCACGGATCGAAGGCAGTTTCTTTTCAAAATGTGTTTTTCAAATTGTGGTTCTCGCCTCAGCGCCGCGCACACTCGTTGTAAAAAGTGCAAGAGGTTCATTGATTGAGGGCGGTTGTTTTTTGTTCAAAAGATGGCTCTCGCCTTAGCGCCGCGCATATTCCTTTTCAAAAACTGCAAGAGTTGCACGGATCGCCATGGCCAACGTACCAGACATGGTGTTATGGAAAGAGTCTGGATTATGCGGGTGCAACATGTACGTTGACTCGCGTCAGGAATGGCGTTCTGGCAAGATTCAGGATCATCAAGACGCAACAGTCAGATTCATCTGTGGCGTTGGAGTCCCAAGAATAGTGTGTTGGCATGCTTCAAGGTCTTCAAGCGGTTGTCTTCCAACGAGGCAATGAGGCATGAACCCTTGTAGGGGCCTATGAAGAGGGAGCTTGGAGGGAGGATGTATTCCAACATCATGGATGGCTCTTGGGTTTACTCTGGTCCTCCTCCTCCTCCTCCTCCTTCTCATCCTCCTCCTCCTCCTCCCCCCCCCTCGTTTTCGTTGCTCAGGTGGCGCTGTCGGCCACCGCGCGCAAGGCCGAGATCACGCTCCGGGGGGAGCTGGACGTCTCCAGGCACCAGGCCGAGGAGCTCCGCAGGGCGCTGGCAGGGAAGGACCGCGAGCTCGAGCGCTACAGAGAGGAGCTCGAGGCGATCCTTGGGGAGCTTAGCACGCTGCGGGGCCACGGCGCCGCCCGCACTCGCATGTAGTGTGGCGCGGAAAAAAAAAGCCTGGGCCTGAAGAAGAGGAAGCATCGGCATAAGCATAAGCATTGAGGCTTTCGGAAATGCTTCAGGAGGTCCGCGCAGATTTCTTGGATCGGCGCTGGCCCCCCTGTCGGCGCCACCCCTGGCGCCGACCCTGGCGCGCGCAGATCCACGAAAGCCGCTCGGTCCTCCGACAGCTCATGCTGATTATGCCGATGCGTATTCTTCTTATTTTGATGGCTGTCACTATGCTATGGACGTCGCCAGCGCCAGTTGCGCCCTCATCCCCTGCAGCTCCTGCTGGTCCCGTCCCTAGCCCCGCCAGAGCACGAGCGCGGTCAGCGGCAGCTGCCGCCGGCAGCCCCAACTAGACCATGCCTGACTCCTGCCGATCTCCTTTGCCCCCGCCCAGCCCCGTGAGCAATGGTTGACGTCGACTCTGGTTGCTCTCTCGAGCTCCGCCTCTGGGATGGAGGTGCCGTCATCACCCGTTGCCGCCGCCATGCGCCAGAATCCACCAACGCTGGCAGTCGCCAACCGCCCTCATTTGCCCTTCCAGCTCTTCTAGCCTTGGTTGCCGACGGCGCTGCGGTCCCAGGAGGTCCCCAAGACGCTCCAAGGGGCCCTGGAGGGCCCAAACAGGCACCACTGGGCTTCAAAAGTTACCCCCAGACGATCCTCAGCGAGCTCCAAGACGCCAAGACAGCCCCAAGAGAGCCAAGGAGAGCCCAAACATTTCCAAGCTGCCCCCAAGATGGCCCCCAAAGGTCCGGCCACCCCCTTCCACGCCTTCGTGCTCTTCCTCGTGCTCCTTGCCCCTGTTCTCTTCAGTCGCCGTCCACGTGCTACTCGTCGTCCTCTTCACTGTCTCATCCTCTTCCTGCCGCGCTGTCCTCCCGGATTGATCCTCTTCATCCTCGTCCACGCCCTGCTCGTCCTCGTCATCTTCTTTGTGCTCCTTCTCGGCCTCCTCGCTACCCTTCTCCACGCTAATTGTCCCCCAGCCGTCCTCTGAGTCCCTATCTGACCCTGCGAAGCAGTGCTGCCCAGGAACAGTCAGGAGGAGGAAAAAACAGACAAAGAATCGTCGATCCCTTGGAAAATGTTGTAAATAAGGGAAGTCGAGGGGGAAGACGAACATCCTGGATTCGTGTTTTATGTTTGGTGTGTGTGTGTTTGTGTTTGTGTTTGTGTTTGTGTGTGTGTTTGTGTTTGTGTGTGTTGTGTGTGTTGTGTGTGTTGTGTGTTGTGTGTTGTGTGTGTTGTGTGTGTTGTGTGTGTGCTGTGTGTGCTGTGTGTTGTGTGTGTTGTGTGTTGTGTGTTGTGTGTTGTGTAATGTGTAATGTGTGTTGTGTTGTGTGTTGTGTGTTGTGTGTTGTGTGTTGTGTGTTGTGTGTTGTGTATGTGTGTGCTTGTGCGTGTGCTTGTGTGTGCTTGTGTGTGTGTTTGTGTGCTTGTTTGTGTGTGTGCGGGTCTGTGTGTTCGTGTGCTTGTGTGCTTGTGTGCTTTTGAGTTTGTGTGTTTGTGAGTGTGTGCGTGTTTGTGTGTGTGTTTGTGTGTGTGCGTGTGTGTTTGTACGTTTGTGTGGTTGTGTGTTTGTGTGCTTGTGTGTTTGTGTGCGTGTGTGCTTGTGTGCTTCTGTGTGCGTCGCGTCGGCCCCGTCGAACAGCTCCGCCAGAGCCACGGCTAGCGCCCTGCTGCCGGGGCCGCCCGCCTTCTGCGGGCCCTGCGGCGGTCTCCGGGCGCGGCTCGCCTCTCCGAGCTGCTCGCTGTCCGCCGCGCCCGCGGCCGCTGCGCTGCCGACCTCCTCCCCCTCCGCTCCCGCCGCGGCGGGAGCGGAGCGCGCGGTCGCGCTCGTCCGCGCCGGCGGAGAGGGCGCGCCCTGCCAGGTCCATCGCCCTTGACAGTCAACCCGCATCGCAAGGAGGAGCGACGTTCCAAGGGTACCCCTTGCATCCCCCCCCCTTCGGCCCATCGTTGGCCGCTTTCGCCGGCCGCGCCCCGCTCGTAGAGTGTCGCCATGGCTTTCCAAGGCCCATCCTTCTCGTGCGTCCTTATTAGACGGGTCGACTGTAGGTCGCGACAATTGTAGACCTAACCAGGGGCATGAAGAGGAGCGTGCCCAGGTGAGGTGGCGAACGGTTCCGTATGCCTCGTGCTTTCGGACATACAGTTCACGGAATGAGGTTTGGCAGCATCCAAGTTTGCACGCCACGGGCAATGGGCAATGGAGGTTCTCGGGTACCGCTACTGTTGAGGCGTACGGTGAGAGGTCGCACATACATCGACGTCTGCGTATGGATTGTGCTAGGTGTCTCCGTGCCGTGACTATGGATCTAATGCAGTAGGGACATTGATCGTTGTGATGAGTTGATGTGATGGAACTGTCGTCTTGCGTAGCGGAGGATGACACTGATGAGCAATGAGTGGGCCTTTGCTGCACAAGACCCTCCCACACCTCCCATCTTCCCCAGCATCTGGTGGATCACATACGTGTTCCTGCGGGGGCTCGTCTGGGGCTCCACTGTGAGGTTCACGGAGTCTGCGTGAGCTCCTGGTCTCAGGAGCTTCTCTTGACTTGCCAGGATCGAATCTGCAGACCGCGTTTCCGACCTCAGGGACCGTGAAGACGTCCCGCACAGCGTGAGTCGAGACAAGCTCTTCGCCTCCACGAAGATACTGCAGCACATGCACGTCTCTCTCGAGCTGCACCGCCCAGGTTTGTGGCGGTGCTCGCGATGGTGCCGGCCCCCACAGAAATGACGTTCTCGCCCAGGCCGTCGGACGAGCCAGAAAGCCCAGTAATAACGGTAATAACTTGAGCACTGTCTTCAGGACGGATTCGGCGTTGCCGCTGTCCAGTCTTCGCACCAGCAGTTTCCCTCGAGCGGTGGTTCCCCACAGCTGCGCTATCATTTGATCCTCGGGCATCGACCTATATCTAGCTCGGGTACCCTGAGGGGCCTTTGGAGCAAATTCGAGTTGTCGATATCTCAAGACCATTTTGGTTGGCGAAGCCCAAGATCGCAGCGTCTAGTTTACGACGGTCCAGCTTCGTCGCTAAGTAGGTTTCCAGGCCCGGCCGCACTCACAATCATCCCCATGAAAGCCATTTGTTTAAGTCGGATCGAGTGTGTTACATCCCACAGTTTGCCTAATCTCCTCCAAGCCGTCCTCGTAGCCTCCACGCTCCTCTTGATCTCAGCCCCACATCCCTCAGTAAGATGATCCATTCCTCCTACGTACACCCCCTCCGCCGAGACCACTCCATGTAGCTGTACATACTGAAAAGCAGCGCTCTGGTGGCAGTGTAAGCTCCAGGGCCCACCATCACTGGCAGGCAGTTCTCCTTGTTCCTATTATGTGCATACCCTCTTCCTCTCTTCAATTCCTCATGAAGAACCGCGTTAGAAGTCTGTGCTTCATGCTTGACCTACAACGGGTGGGGCTGAGATGACGGTAAAATCTGATGGATGACATTTGCACCATTTTTGATTGAGACGTCATGCATCATGCCGGTGACCGCGCAAGTCACGATGTTCGTTGTTCTTGCTAGCGGTACGCTGCTTCAGGTTCGCTCTGATTGAAATTGCGTGCCAGCGTTCCATTGGCCGTAGAAAATTGCAAACAAATAATTTACACGCGTTCCCATTCCCCGTCCCAGACCCATGAGTTGGTTGATAGTACCCCGTCTGCTCCCCCGCCCTGATCTCCATTACCGCTTCGGAGTGACGTTGATAGATGAAGACCCTATCTTAGGGGGTGCTCCACAACCTCCATGACCGTGCGAGTGAGCTCGTCGTAAGACGTGGAGGGGAACGCGTTCGACATGTCCGTCTTTAGCAGAAGGTGTGAGACCCCGAGTTTCTTGAGACGCCAGCTGTGTATACTGGCAGCCATCCGAGCGTTCTGACGATATCGATGTGCAGCGTATCCGTAAGCGTGCGGTGGGAGAGGTGCTCGAAGAACGTCGAATAATCAAACCACGATGCCAGGCTTTTCCGAACTGGTAGTACCAGTGAATGAGACGCATGGCCGTGGTCCCTTCTTGAGGCTCCGCTTTGAGATCTGGAAAGTCCTACGCCAGTCTCAGTGGTACGGCGTGCGTGTCTTGGCTCGGATGTGGCGGAAGGGGCGCCGATGGCGTGCAGTGAAACACGGGCAAGCTTCACGTAGACGTTGTTGCGCACGCCGCATTTCTCTCCCACTCATGCGATCGAAGTGCGGCCAGTGTCTTGTCATCTCCAGGGCCGCGTGTTGCAACAACCAACACCACACCTCCGCTGGAACCGAGTACTCTGATTGGGGCCTTCTCCTCGTTGCCTTCTTCAGCGGCGACATGGCGCGAAACCAATCACCGTGTCCCAACGACGCTGGAGCTCCGTCGCAACGTTCGATGCCTCCATGAGCCAGCCGATCGAGCTCGAGGGGAGCTGCCTCCGACGGCGTCTGGGATACTATTGCACCGAATCCTCCGTCTTGCGCCGACGCATTCGTGGTCTCCTCCCACTCTGCCAGGCTCGGCAAGTACGTGCCGGCGACGTGGAAGGAGCGCTGGCGTGGGCTTCTGCATCCTTGTCCGACCGCATCGATGTTACGTCAATTTCCATGTGTATCAGCAGCACCTCGACGTGTGAGGTACGGGGGGAGGGGGGGAGGGAGGATGGGAAGGAGGGAGGGAAGGAGGGAGGGAGAGATGGAAGGAGAGAGGGAGAGAGGGAAGGAGAGAGGGAGGAGGAGGAGTAGGCGAAGGTAAGGAGAACGGCGAAGGGAGGAAAAAGGACAGAGGAGGGAGGAGGAATGTGGAGGAGGAGGAGGAGGACGAGGACGAGGACGAGGACGACGACGATGAGGATTAGGAGGACCAGTGCAAGCCCAAGACGAATCAACGATGTTGCAATAAATCCCCCCTCCAAGTTCTCTCTTCGCAGGTCCCTAAAAGAATATACGCGCGTTGAGAGAAGTAGCCCGCTCGAAGACAACCGTCTGAAAATCCTCAAATGTGCCAAAACACAAGATTTGGGATAGCAGCCCCACGGGTCAACGTGACTGTTGCGTTTTGGCAGTCCTAACGCGCGCAAGAACAACATTCCTGGGACTCCAACGCCACGAACCAACGTGGCCACTGCATCCGAACAATCATGAATCGTGCCAGAACACCATTCCTGGGATTTCCACAGTACGATTGCTCGAACATGTTAGCCAGCGTGGACCCCAATCAGTGACTCCTTGCGCTCTATGTGGGGCAATATATGTGGTGCAAGCTATGTAGAGCCAATCAATCTACGTGGTGCAAGCCCTGCGGCGTAAGCTACATGTTTGTGGTGTAGACTATGTAGTGCAATAGGTGTGATGTAAGTGTATGTGGAGCAAGATATGTGGTGCAATGTAGGTGGATTAAGCTATATGGTACAATATAGGTGGAGCAGTCTGTGTGGTCAATCATTGCAGTGTAAACGATTTGGAGCAATAGATGTGGTCCAGTAGATGTGGTATTAGCTATGTGGTGCAATCGACGTGGTGCAATCTACGTGGTGCAGTTGACTACCCTGCACCGCGCTTGACCACTCCACTGCTCGCGCAAACATCCCACCCACCCACCCGCAATTTGGTTCGCAAACTCTCTTAAGACCGTGACGGTGGGTACCAAATGGCACTTGCCAACGACAGCGACGCCGACGACGACAGCGACAACGACGACGACGACGCCGCCGACAACGACTACGACGACACCGACGACGTCTCCAACGACTTCGACGACGCCGACAACGACGACGACGACGACGACGACGACGACCGACGACGACGACGACGACGCCGACGCCGACGACGACGACGACGACGATGACGACGACGACGACGATGACGACGCCGACGACGACGACAACGACGACGCCGACGACGACGACGACGACGACGACGTCAACGACGCCGACGACGACGACGACGACGACGCGGCGACGACGACGACGCCGACACGACGACGAAGACGACGACGACGCCGACGCCGACGACGAAGACGACGACGACGTCGCCAACGAAGACGACGAGGGAGGAGGGAGGACGACGACGGCGACAACGACGACGAACAACGACGAGGGAGGAGGGAGGACGGCGACGACGCGAACGACGAAGAAGGAGGAAGGACGGCGACGCCGACGACGACAACGACGAGGGAGGAGGGAAGACGACGACGACAACGACGACGACGACGACGGCGACGAAATAGGAGGGACGACGACGAGACGCCGACGACGGACGACGACGACGACGAGGGAGGAGGAGGAAGGACGACCACGGCGACAACGACGACGGAAACGACCACGACGCCAAAGAGGACGACGACGACGAACACGAGGAAAGACAGAGGACGACGCAGGCGACGACGACGACGACGACGACGACGACGACGACGACAACGACGCGGGAGGAGGGAGGACGGCGACGACGACGACGACGACGACGACGCAAGAGAGCGCGCGCGCACGCTTTTGTTGAAAATCCGTGTTGCGAAACCTTGGGTTTTTGTAGGTTTTTTGGACGCGCGATTTCGAAATCTTTCCGAAATCGATGGTTTTTGAAGGATTTCGGCGTACGCGCGCGACCACGCGCGCGTCTGCACTCCGTCCCGTTTTCTGCAGAGGATTCTCGCGACGGCACACGCGCAAGGGCGTTCGACAGATTTCGACATGCGCGCGCGCGAAGCCCGTTTGGTAGCATTTTGTGAAAATCTTGAAAAACTTGTGGTGTTCTTAAGATTTCGCAAGAGCTCGCGCGGAAGTTTTTGTTAGCAAATCAGCGTTACGAAACCATGTTTTTTGTATGTTTTTTTTGGAAACTCGATTGCGAAATCCTTCCGGCACCGAAGGTTTTTGAAGGATTTCGGCATGCGCGCGCGACGACGCGCGCGTGTGCACTTTGTCTTATTTGTTGCAAGGGGTTCGCGAAAAAGTGCTATGTGAGAACAAAAAATGTCACCGCATAGTGTTTTTTTTACTAGGGACCCTCAGGGGGGGGGAACCGGCCTGCCTGGGATGGTACGATTTCATACTTAGGATGGACGAGTGTGCAGAATATATATATATATATATATATATATATGAAACTATACCATCCCAGGGGGAAACGTTAAGTTGTTAGAAAGGAGAATCGATGTGGTGCAAGGCATGTGGTAGAAGCGATGTGGTGTAAGCAATGTGGTGCAAATTGTGTAATGCAAGCTATATGGCGCAATCGATGTGGTGCAGTTTATGTGGTGCAATCCACTCTGCTGAACTTGAAGTCGTCATCCCCACTGTTCGCGCAAACATCCCACCCACCCACCCGCAACTTGGTTTGCAAAACCTCTTAAGACCGACTACGACAACACCGACGACAACGACGACGACGACACCGACGACGTCTCCCACGACGTCGACGACGACACCGACGCCGACGACGACGACGACGACGACGACGACGACGACGCCGACGACGACGAAGACGATGACGAGGGAGGAGGAAGGACGACGACGGCGACAACGACGACAACGACGACAACGACGAGGGAGGAGGGAGGACGGCGACGACGCGAACGACGAAGAAGGAGGAACGACGGCGACGCCGACGACGACAACGACGAGGGAGGAGGGAAGACGACGACGACGACGACGACGAAATAGGAGGGACGACGACGAGACGCCGACGACGGACGACGACGACGACGAGGGAGGAGGAGGAAGGACGACAACGGCGACAACGACGACGGAAACGACCACGACGCCAAAGAGGGTGCCGACGACGAACACGAGGAAAGACAGGACGACGTAGGCAACGACGACGACGACGACGACGCGGGAGGAGGGAGGACGGCGACGACGACGACGACGACGACGATGACGACGACGACGACGACGACCCAAGAGAGCGCGCGCGCACGCTTTTGTTGAAAATGCGTGTTGCGAAACCTTGGGTTTTTGTAGGTTTTGTGGACACGATTTTGAAATTCTTCCGAAACCGATGGGTTTTGAAGGTTTTCGGCATACGCGCGCGACCACGCGCGCGTCTGCACTTCGTCCCATTTGTTGCAGAGGGTTCTCGCGACGGCACACGCGCAAGGGCGTTCGACAGATTTCGAAAAATGCGCGCGAAGCCCGTTTAATAGCATGTTGTAAAAATCGTGAAAACCAATGGTTTTCTTAAGATGTCGCAAGAGCTCGCGCAGAAGCTTTTTTAGCAAATCAGTGTTGCGAAACCCTGTGTTTTTGTATGTGCTTTGGAAACTCGATTGCGAAATCCTTCCAGCACCACAGGTTTTTGAAGGATTTCGGCATGCGCGCGCGACGACGCGCGCGTGCGCACTGCGTCCCATCTGTTGCAAAGGATTCGCGGAAAAGTGTTATGTTAGAACCAAAAAACGTCACCGCGTAGTGTTTTTTTTAAAAAAGGGAACCTCAGGGGGGGGAACCCGGCTGGCCTGGGATAGTGTAAATTCAAATTAGGATGGACATGTGGTCAGAATCATATATGATTTACATTCCCGAAAGGGGTGCCGATAACGCCGGAGGGGGGGTAGATCCTATTCTGTTCTTAGAAAGGAGAATCTATGTGGTGCGTTCTATGGAGCCCAGTAGCAGCGGCGACAAGGCGGCGGGCGGCGACGAGGCGGCGACGGGGCGGCGACGGCGACAACATAGCCGCCAGACCGGCCCGCAGGCCCCGACGACGGGCGGCGACGAGGCGGCGACGGGGCGGCGACGACAGCACAGCCACCAGACCGGCCCGCAGGCCAGGTCCCTTAGAAAGGAAGTCAGAGACCCGACGTAAATGCAGGCACTGTGTGGGGAAATTGCAAACAGTTGCGACGAGGTGCGCGGCGCTAGCAAAGCGACAGCTACATATAAGAAAGGAGCCGCCCTGCATCCTTGAAAGTGCTGCAAACGTTGAAGACGAATGCGCGAGGCGCGAAGGCGAGAACCACGTTTTGAAAAGGACCCGCCCTCCATTCGTGAAGCTTTTGCAAACTTTCAAGACGAATGTGCGCTGCGCTGAAACAAGAGCCACATTTTGAAAGCCACCCGCCCTCCATCCGTGAAACTGCTGCAACTTTCAAGCTTCAGGGTCAGAAATGGCGAGGAAGTCTCAGGCGAAACGCCCGGCCCGCCCTACCAACACGTCTGGAGGTGCGACAGGGACGAAATGCTCATTAAAAGGATGGAGGAGAAGGAGGAGGAGGAGGAGGAGGAGGAGGAGGCAGGGAAGGGTATGGGAGGGCAGGCATACGGACAGGAACTTTCGCTTAGCGTGCCGTTCCGCCGGTTCTGGCCCACCGGGCTTCGGCGCGACACGCTATCCACGTCCCAGTCTCCGAACGCCAATGTCCGAGCCTTTCCTGGCCTCCCGCCCCTCGCAGCGGAGCTGCACGCCATCCACTCGCAGGGCACAGCGTGCCGCCGGGGCCGCTGCCACGACACGCGAAGCCAAGTTCCCGAGCGCAGGAGATGGAGGAGGTGGAGGAGGAGGAGGAGGAGGAAGAGGAGGAGGAGAGGAGGCGAGGAGGAGGAGGAGGAGGAGGAGGAGGGGAGGAGGGGAGAGAAGGAGGAGGAGGAGAGGAGGAAGGAGGAGGATGGGAGGAGGAGGAAGGAGAGATGGAGGAGGAGGAGGAGAGGAGGAGAGGAGGAGGAGCAGGTCGTCGATGCGCTCCGCTCCGCGGCGGACTGCCTGGACGCGGCGCTGCTCGAGCCGCCCGCCGCGGCCCTGCGGGGCAGCGGCCCCTCCGCGCGGGCGGCCGCCGGGCCACGAGAGCGCCTGGGTGGGGGGGGGATAAGGGGCTGCTGGCGGTCCGAGTCGATCCGATACAGCTGCGAGGTCTTTGGGAGTCTTTCCGAGGAGGAAAAAGTGCCCATACCTCTAGCATTCCTCTTTTCCCCTTTTGGGGGCCTCTGGGAGGCCCTCGTCACCACCGCTGGGACGCCTCAAAATGCTGGTCAGAACGCACCCTAGGAGAGATCGGGGAGTACGGTATAGGTACTTTGCTTGGCTTCGCTCGGACATGTGCATGTTTTCCTCGGCGAGGACCATGGAGGAGCATCCTGGATGACTTGGCGAAAAAGCATGCACGACATTGAAAAATACACGAGGAATGGACGTCCGAGCGATGGCAAGTTTGGGTTTTCCCACGTCTTCGACAGTTCCCAGGGGGTTGCTGCGGACAGTCCAACGGGCCGCTCCAATTTCTGCGGAGCGTCGGCTCACAGGGGACGAGGGGGAAAAAGAGCGCGCCCGTGGCCCACCTCTCACTAAAAGGGGGGCCCCAGCATGGAGCCACCCCTCCTCCCTTGGACAAGAGGGGGGGGGGGGGGGGGGGCTTCCGAAGGACCCCCCCTCCCTGCCTTTGGTGGGCATTCCGGAGCTGGGGGGCCCTAGCTAAAGGGGGGGGGCGCTGCCAGGCTACCCCTGCATCGCTCCGCAGGTCCTGGCCCACCGTGCCTCCGTGCGAGACGTGCTCCGCTTCGCGGTCCCCCGGGCGCCGACCGCAGCCTCGGGGTGCCTTCCAGCAGCTGCGCCCCTTCGAGAGCATCCCTCGGAGGTGGACAGACCTCCTACCCTGACACGTCGATTAGGGAATCGGCCGTTTTCGGTTCGCGAGAGGGCGTCGCGGCCGTCACTTTTGCGGGTCCAGGTCCGTCGGTTTCGGCCCCAGGCCGTTTTCACTAAGGGGAGGTTTACTGAAGGGAGGTTTGTCCACCGCCGAACTCCGGGGCTGCCCGGATCGTCCCGAGCGGCCGCCAGGGGCCCGAGTTGCGGCCCGAGAGCCGCCGGGAGCCGGGTCCGAGGAGGGCCGCGTCGAGCCCGACCCGGTCTCGCGACGGCTCGGCTCGGCTCCAGGGCCGATCTCGCGGTTCGCTTGGCATCGCTCGGACGTGTGCATTTTTCTTTCGGCGAGGACCATGGAGGAGCAGCCTTGATCATTCGGCGAAAAAGCCACGCACGAAACCGAAAAAAGCACAGGGAATGGACGTCCGAGCGATGGCGAGTTCGACTCAGCTCAGGTTTGCCTGGTGGATGGGCCAGAGAGGTGGGTCAGTGATCGAGGTTACGCGCCGCCGAGAGGGGGACCCCGCAACGGGCACTTTACCTCGGCGGCGTGAGGGAAGGTTGCAGGGACGTGGCAGGAGCGCGCCGCTTGCACGCGGGCTGGCGCAGGGAAGCGACAGGGAGGCGCCACTTTCTTGCATCGGCCACGCTCCCCGTCAACCGAGTGCCCATCAGGGTGGCGATGACAGGCTCTCGGGGCGCGCGTGAAGGGGGTCAGCCAGTCCCCTCCGATCCCTCTTGGCCGACCCGGGCTTGGGAGCCGAGCGGAGACGACCCCCGTTCTCCAACCTCTGCTGGCCTGGGTTTGGGAGCTACGTCGCTACGCCGTGGCTGGCCCGGGAGCGCGACCGCTGACTCGGGTCGGCCCGCCTCCGAGGCTGCGAGATCGAGCTTTTTGGATCGTTTCGGCCCGTTCTGTGCTTGCGGGAGGGTTGTCTTTGCCACGGCTGGCTCCACTTCGAGATCCTGGTCAAGGCGCACCTCAAATAATGTCTGGGGAACGGTCCTGACGGGAGGGAACGAGGAGGAGGGAGGGACAGGTTTTGGCTCTTGCGGGCAGACACCGGGAGGGCATCCTGCAGGAGACCTCTACCTCTGCGTGTGTTAGCATAGCGCAGGCCATTCACATCTTGCCCATGCCTCACTTGTTATACAGAATTGAATCCCTTGCCTGTTACGTCTTCCCGCGCCCAGTGCACGCACATCTTCCTACGCTGCACCGCATTTCGCAAGCAGTACAGACGCCGTCCTCATCACAGCACGCACGCACACACACACACACCATGACAATCGCCGCAGGGCCAGCGTGGCACCGACTCGAGCGACGCCGCGACGCCACAGGGCAGAAATTCGCATACTATTTCGAGTAGCAAGCCCACGCCACCTACTCAACTCCCACCACAGCGCACAGCAGCAATCCCGACCTATGACAGACACAACGACTCCCACGACTACGGAGCACATGATCCCTTCGCCAAGGGCAAAGGCGTGGGAAGAGCCAAACTCCTTCGTTCGCGGCGATTTGGCGATCGTGCAGCGCGTCCGAGGCCTACACAGGATCGTGGTAATGCGAGTTTCCACACGGGGGGGGGGGCGAGGCAAGGCAGAGGGCGGCCTCGGAGGAGGGAGGGAAGCCGCGGCGGCGCACTCAGCCCGTTCACGTGCCTGCATCGAGGATCGGTTCCACGTTCCGGCCTGCACCTCCAGTCGACCTTCCCTCCCTCCTCTTTTCGCCCTCCATCTCCCTCGCCCTTCATCACTGGCTTTTCTCATAGCCACCTGCGCCCGTCGCCCTTCCCCCCGCGGGTCCTCCTCCCCCCACTCGCCGCTCGCCCCCTCGACCTCGCACCCCTCGCCCGTCCTGCTTCCCCTCGCCCTCCCGCCCTGCCCCCCCGGCCGTTCTTACACCGTAGACCCAACATCATCTCGGTAGCTTCACTTCAATGCGGGCGCTGCGTGTGGGGAGGTTCAGAACGGACGTGGAAGCATGGAGGCTGGACGAGCATCACCACCGTACACACACGAGTCATCACACACGCACACACACACACACACACACGCAACGCACACACGCACGCAACCCACACCCACACCCACACACACACACACACACACACACACACACGCGCGCGCGCACGCGCCGACGGATCCGGAAGGACGTAAGGTCGCAGGAGGTACGCAAGGGGAGCCGGGTGGGATTAGGATTACATCCAGTTCCCCTTGGCAGAGCGAGGGCGGACGAGGCCGGCAGCAGAGGCAGGAATAGTGCTTCTGTGTCGTCTGCCGCCCTCTTTCTTGCCGCCCACGCGGGGAGAGGCCCGCCACGCCCTCGGCGCCGCGCGCTGTGGGGCCGCCGGCCACGAACCGCTCGGCCGCCTTGAAGCAGCAGCAGGAGGCCGCGGGAGGGACGGCGGGCGCTCGGGGCCGAGCCCTCGGCGGAGGCGAGCGGCATGTCGGCGGCGAGCCCGGGGGGAAGCGAGAAGGAGAAGGAGAAGGAGGAGGGAGGAGGGAGGAGGGAGGAGGGAGGAGAGGGAGGAGGAGGAGAAGAGAGGAGAGAAGGCTAGCTGCGTCATCGGGCAGCCCAGCCCACTTCCTTCCGAAGGCCGAGGTTTGTACTGACTTCCGAGCCGGCTAGATGAGGGGAACAAAAATTGGCAATAAACAAAAAAATAAAAACTCTGAAGGTCCGCGCGGATTATCTCGGATCGGCGAAGGGCCCCCCGGCGGCGCCTCCGTCGCCGCCCCTGGCCGCCCGCGCGCCAGGGAGGGGGGTCCAACGCCGATCCGAGAAATCCGCGCGGACCCCCGAGTTATCATTTTTATGCCACTTGTTGTTCCCCTATTCTCGCACGGCTCGGAAGTCCCCCTCGGCCTTCGGAGAAGTTTGCTGCGCCGGCCCCGAAGACGCAGCAAGCCTTCTCCTCCTCCTCCTTCTCCTCCTCCTCCACCCCCTCCTACCCTCCTCCTCTACTCCTCCTCCTCCTCCTTCTCCTCCTCCTCCTCCTCTCCTCCTCCCATCCTCCTCCCTCCTCCCTCCTCCCTCCTCCTCCTCCTCCTCCTACTCCCTCCTCCCTCCTCCTTTATCTGCTGCTGGCGAGCCCCGCGGCCTTCCGAGGAGGCCTCCCGCTGCTCGCGGCCCCCATCGGGGGCTCGCCGCCGAGCAGGGGCCCTGCGCGGCGGCTCCGGGGGGGGGGGGGGCCCACGGGCCCCGCCCCGCCCAGCTGCTGCCGGGCAGGACTTTCGGGTCGGCCCACTGGACAAATTTGGAGCCTGTGCAGAAGTTCGTGCACTGCAGCACGTTCTTGGCGACGGTGCTGGTGGCCGCGCGCTGCTCGTCGCAGACGACGTCTCCCCTCGTTGAGTCCTCGTCTCTGTCCTCGTCCTGTGTCCTGGGCCTCCTCCTGCGCCGGCCTCGGGTGAGGGCATATCGGGTGAGGAATAATCATTCAGGAGGGAAAGAAACACACAGACACGATGAATCGTCCGTTCCCCCGAAGATGTAGGAACATATGGGCAGTGGGGGGGAAGACAGAAGCCCCGAAACTGTTGGAACGGATGGGGAATCTGGTTATATGTGTCTATTTATCTGTGTGTCCCAGTTCCCCTTCAATCATGGGGTGAGGAGCCCAGGGTCTGGCAGCCTATGGAACCCCAATCGTGGATCTGGCCATGTACATCCACCGCCGCCCTCAGCAGATGGGGGATCCTCCAGGGTCTGAAGCCTTCTGGGCACATGCCTCAGTCAATGCAATGCCCCCCCCCTTACGTTGCTGCATGTCTCGGGAGCGTCCCAAAAGGCTAGAAAAGGGAGAATCACAGCCGGGGCCATGAGGTCTCCCAGATTTCGTAGCCCTCCTCCTCCTCCTCCTCCTCCTCCCTTCCACCTCCCTCCCCCCTCCTCCCTCCACATCCTCCTCCCCCTCCTCCTCCTCCTTCCTCCTCCTCCCCTCCTCCTCCTCCCCTCTCCTCCCCTTCCTCCTCCTTCTCCACCTCCCCCTCCTCCTCCTCTCCCCCTCGCCCCTCTCACCTACTTCCATCCACCTCCACTCCTCCACCTCCTCCTCCTCCTCCTCCCTCCTCCTCCTCCTCACCTCCTCCTACTCCCTCCACCTCCTCCGCCTCACCTCCTCCTCCTCCTCCTCCTCCTCCACCTCCTCTCCTCCCCTCTCCTCCCCCTCACTCCTCCTCCTCCTCCTCCTCCTCCCTCCTCCCCACTGCGTTCCCAGGCCCCGCCTCGTCCGCGCACGCGCCTCGGGCCACCGCGCGCCCGTCCTCCTCCTCCCGGCCCTCCTTCGGCGCACCCGGCATCATCTCCGCGGCGGCAAGGAGGCGTTGAGTCAGGCGATCGCAAACATGGATCAAGGGGGCGTGCTTGGTCGGGCGGCCTGTTCCTGCACAGCGCCCTCGTCTCCGCGTCGCCTTCGCCTCCTGCTCCTTCTGCTCCTTCTGCCCATCTCCATTCACCACTTCCTGGGCACTGGTGCCCCCGAGCATCAGGCGATCGCAAACATGGATTCAGGGGGCGTGGATTAGCGACGGGCCCCGCTTCCATGGAAAATCTCAGATTTCCGCCGCCGAAGGAGGCACCAGCCGCACTTCGGGGAGGGCACCTCCCCCGATCCATGGATTTGGCGACCGCGCGCCAAGTCCGTTGCTAATCCATGTTTGCGCGCCCCCGATGGAGGCCCGGGATCTCCAGTGAGTGTACGTTGGCGGCCGCCTTGTGGGGCGGAGGGGCGCGGACTTCTATGCTGCGGAGAGCAGTGATCGCACCAATCATAAGATTATCTCAGTGCGACCCTACCTAGGAGTTGGATGATCTAGGAAAGCAACATCTATATGAAGCTAAGCTAAGCTAAGGCGAAGCTATGCTAAGATGTAATAAGCTAAGCTAAGATGAGATAAGCAACGCTAAGCGAAGGGAACGTCACTGGGGGAACCGCGGAGCAGATGCCGGGGGAACCGCCCGGGGCGAGTTGCACTGCCCGGCCCTTTAAGCTTACCGAGTAAGAACCCCTCTAGGCTGAGCCTAGGTAGGGAACTTGCACCAGGGAGCGAAGCTGTATTCCTAGAATTGTATCGGCATGGGTACTGGCATGGGCCCTCGTATCTGTTGTATGTGTGTGAAAGCATGTGAGTGTACAATCATGCGTTTGTGAATGTGAATTTGGGTGCGGACGCGCGAACGCGGGAAAGTGAGAGTGCGTGAATGTGCGATGCGTTTGTTCTGGCAGGGCCACGTGAGACCCAGGAGGATGGAGTACTTGAGGTGACGGGGCATAAGGCAAAAGCAGCACCAAAGGACCACAGAAACACCACTCGTAGGATGTGGAGGACTAGCTGGTGTCTTTGAGCGAGACCATTTTGAGTATTAGTAATCGTGCGAGGCCAGTTCCACAACTGGTAGGCAGGTTTGGGGGCAGGGGTGTTACTCTGAGTACACTAACCAGGCAGATCGAAGAAATGCTTGCGAGCATGCGTGATTATGTTTATCCAGCTGCCTGCGGCAAGTCCCCCACCGTGTCAGCCCAGCATTTAGGGTGGCGACTGTTCAAGGGGGCACGGGAGGGAGTCACGTGTAACACCTCATATACCCAGGGTTGGGAGAGCAGTGATGATGATGATTTGATGGTGATGTTGATGACGTTGATGGTGATGGTGGTGATGATGATGATGTTGATGGTG